GTTTCAAATAAAATTTATTTAATTTAAATAAACATTTTATTTGATTTAAATAAAAAATTTTTGTTTCAGACAAAAGAATATAGTTATTTAGCTTTGAGATATAAATATACAATATATATTTTTATTTAATTCAAATAAATTATATTTGGTTTGAATAAAAAAAAATTTTCCTGATGTGTAGATATAAAGCACTTTAGTTAAAATTCATTTTTATAAAATATAAATTCGAGTATTCCCTAATAGAATTTTGAAAGAGACAAGTGGGATAAATACGAAATATTTCATATGAGAGTTATTTTAATTGGAGAGTATAATGAACGCAAATCGCAATAAAGTATAAAAATAAAACGTGATAAAAAGATACACACAAACCGTCAGTGTAACTATAAATGTATAAAATACGCTCTTTTAAATCAGCTTGAAACAATTAGTAACTATGGTCAGCTTTTTATGATATTAAAACAAATTAAAAAAAAAATTTCCCCTATTTCAGCAGAATAATAACATATTTTTATAATATAAAGAAGGAATTTAAAAAAAAAAAAATTTAATCGCTTTTAAATGTTTCAAAAAGTAGATTTTAAAAACAATTTTATAAAATAATTAAAATTCTTTCATTGACAAACAACTTCTCTTTCAATATATTTTTTATTATAAAAAAAGATAAAAAGTCATTTATAAATAATGTTTTTATCTAAAATTTATTTTTCATTAAAACATTTAATTAAAAATATTAAATATTTGCCATTTTTTAAAAATTTGAGTAAAAAAAAAAATTGTTGCGAAAAAAGAATAACAAGTTACTAATTGTGAAAAACTAAATGCCATACGTAAGTAATAGGTCAATTAATTATTAAGCAGTATTGTAAAATGACTAACATTAAAACGATGCCAAAATGATTTAGGGTTTTATTAAAAACAAAAAAAGAAAGAAAAAAAAAAAAATGTCAAATCTAATATCAGAAAAAGCATTCCGTGCCTATAATATTCACCTAAAATAGCACATCCAATATTTTTCTGGTCAGATCCATCCATTAAAATTTCCAGGGAATTTTTCAGCTGCAATATTTAAATGTATTTCTCAAATTTCGATTATTGTCCAATTGCAATTTTTCGCAAGAAATAATCTCTTTTTGCCATATATATTATTTACTATATATTTGAAAAATGTCCATTAAAATACAAGATTTTTACAAAACGTTTTGCCTTCTCTTATTATATGAGAATGTAAAAAAGAAACAATAGAAAAAATCTGGAAATAACGATTTCGCAAAAATTTAGATCAATTTTTAAAAACATGAAAAAATTTTTCAACAAAATTTGAAGAAAAAGAAACCTATCTTTTTTCAGAAAGTTTTTGTAAAAAATTGTTTTTTTTACTGTTATAAACATTAAAACAATTATTATTATATTTATTATTTATATTTATTCATTATATTTATATCCAAATTTCCAGATTTTTCAATAACAGACATTTCTTCAAGTTATTACCCAGATAGAACGTAAGCTTGCAGCAATCTTGTGGCAAGCTTCAAATGTCTCACCTGACCGAAAGCTTGCAGTGTAAGGTTACTGCAAGATTGCACATTAAAATTATCGCAACATTGCTCAGTAAGTCTACCGAAATATTGCAGTGTAAGGTTACTGCAAGATTGCACAATAAGATTATCAAAAGATAGCTCAGTAAGCTTGCACGGTAAGCTTGTAGCAAGGTTGATGCCTTTATTAGACATAAACCTAATAAAATAATATAAATTAGACGAAAAAATTTTTTAAAAAAATTTTTTAGTTTCAAAGCAAGGTTATTTGGCAACCTTGCATCAACCTTGCTACAAGCTTACCGTGCAAGCTTACTGAGAAATCTTGCGATAATCTTACTGTGCAATCTTGCATTAATCTTACACTGCAATCTTTCTATAAGCTTACCATGCATGCTTTCGGTCAGTTGGGACATTTAAAGCTTGCGGCAAGTTTGCCATGCAAGAATGACAATATTGCTCAGTAAGCTTGACGCAAGGTTGCTGCAAGCTTACGTGCTATCTGAGTGAACTTATTATTGTTAGCAGAATGCGCTATTAAAAATGTAATGTGTTTATCGTATAAAAAAAAAAAATTGTGACAGTATTTTTTTAATGTGCGGATAATAGGCAATAGAAAAAATGTCCCTGCCATTTTCATGAGGCAGTTATTAATTATTTAAATTTCTACTTTTCGAATCGAGAACAGGAATACTCGCAGAATGTGATTAAAAAAAAAATTTACAGATGCTTTGAATTTTTATTTCAATAAAATTTTTAAAATGATACATGAGAATAAATAACATAAAAATAATAAAATTCTCTAATATTGGAGAATGCAACGAAAACTCAAAATCATTGTTATTTGTAAACATATATGTAATTTTCGTATTTATATTTAATTGAAATTATGCATGAGAACGGTATTTCAGAGTGTCACTTTTGGTAAAAACAGCTACTAGGTTTTTATATTTAATTTTGAAAAAGGTTTTTTTTTTTTTTTTGCTAATAGTAAAATGTAAAAAAACCAAATATATACTAAATTTTTACTATTTTTAGTTGCAGATAAAATAATTCATCTAATAATAGCGACAAATAAAAGGTATAACAAAAATTTAGAACCTCTGGTATTTTTTTAATTTTTGTTATTCCGAATATTGTTAGATGAACATTTCTTTTGAATTAAGAAGCAAGAACATTACCTTTTTTTGAAAAAATTGCTGCTCTGCAACAAAAGATTTGTTATTATAATATAGTCAAAAGTTGCGTTCACTAATTTTATAATTTTTTTTTGTTTTCATTTTTTTTTTTTTTTATGAATCACGAATCTTGAAGCGGAGGAATATTACGAGTTTATTCAAATATATGTAGATTATTTAATCAGTAACTGATATCAATGTACATGTATATTTATTAGTGTATGCAATGTAATGTAATGCCACTTGTATTATTATAATATATTGCTATATAGAATACAAAATATAATTCGGTATAAAAAATTGATTTGTATTTTCTTCCTCTCCTTTAAGGTTATGTTATTGGTGTGGATTCACATGTTAATATGCTCTGCAATTTTTTGATTTTTTTTTTTTAATATTTGATAGATTGAGCTAAAATTTTGTGAACTCAAAAATATTATAAGGTTTCGCTGTTCTGTGCCAGAGTATATTAATATTTTATAAAAAAATTTATTTCTAAAAATTTTGCATATTTAAAGAAAATTCAATATTCATTGCAACAGACATGCGATTTTTTAAGGTCATACCCTAATAACACAAGATATCTTGGGATATATTGATAATATCCCGCAGATATCCTAGGGATGTCCTATGGATATCAAAAGGATCTCTTAAGGATATACAAAAAATCGGCGGTTTGGATATCCTTTGAATATCCCATGGATATCTGAGGATATCCACAGGATATCTTCTGGATATCTCTATATATGTTGAGATATTAAATAACCCGTGAATATCCTAAGAATATCCCACAGACATCCTGAGAATATCCCATGGATATCCTGCGATATTATATCCAATAGATATTTTGTGGATGTCTTAGGGATATCCTGTGGATGTCCTGTTGATGTCCCACAGACTGGCGGTTTGGATATCCTAGGGATATCGCAAGATATCCTGGGGACCATTCTAGGATATCGACCATTGATATGGATATCCTAGGGATATCCTTTTGTTATGAGGGTATGACCCCTCACAACACAAGGATATTCAGGATATCCCTGGGACGTCCTGGGGATATCCATTTGCTTTTGGCGATTCGGATATCCCTAAGATATCCTCTGGATATCCATGGACATCTCTAAGATATCCCAGGGATATCCAAACCGCCGAAAACAAATCGATATCCCCAGGACGTCCCAAGGATATCCTGAATATCCTTTTGTTGTGAGGGACTGTTGATATTTTACATGTAAATATTCTCAGCAAATTTTCTCGCAAAATAATTGATAAATATGATCTTAAAATTTCTTTATTTTTGTTTTAAAAAATTTGAAACATATTTTTCAACGACTCCAAAAACCATCGTGTAAGCATTTTTTTTAAAAAAAAAAACCTTATCTCTAATTTGATCGCCATTTTGAATTTTCGTATTTTGACTACAGATTTGGAATCAGCGACCACAAAATTCACACAACAAATGAGGATTAGGTTAAATTGAGTTTAAACCAAATATTAAGAATTATATCAAATGAATATTAGGTCAGATTAAAATTATACTAAATAAAAATTAAATAAAAATTAGGCTACTTAAGAATTAGGTCCGATAAAGATTAGGACAAGGCACTATAAACAAAATCAACCATTTTTTTTTCAATGCATATATATGATAATAAAGAACTCTGTAATGGAAATATAATGTTTTAAGAAAACCGTAAATTGGTGCCCTCTATGAAACCTTTCACTCAATCAAGTCTATTGCCATCGTGAGGCAAACATGGTAACTGAATCGCATTGTACGCGCGCATAAACTTGACAACACTTTCAGGGGCGCAGAAAATGCAACGCCCTATATGAATTTCTTAATTCTTCAACCCTATTATGAAAAAAAATATATATACTTTCTTCGCAAAAATCATTAAAAAAAAAAAAAAGGTATGACATGCAGGAAAAAATTTTTTTCAGACAATTCATAATTTGATAATTTTTGAATTTGAATAAACGAAAAATATTGACGAAATTAGAAAGTAAATTTTTGTTCGAACTGGGCTCAGATGAAGCAATGTCGATCCTATATGTACCGCATTTCACGTACACCCCACGCAATACATGAGCGCCTACACGCATGTACACCTACACAAGATAAAACTACACAATTAAAACCCTGAGCAACGGCAACAGCCGACTGGCAAACACACAAGAAGACAGGAGTGGCACACCATGTAAGGCAAGTAAATCAAATAAGCTGTCAAAGCAATTGATTCTTTTTCTTTTCGTATATATAAAAATTTGCCTGTGTCGATCCGTCTGTCTTCAAGTGAGAAACATCCATATTTTAACACAGCATCCCTCTCGTTTAATCACTGAAAAGTATTTTTACACATTGCATCCTCTAAAAGCACGCCCCATCAGTGATCAAGGTTGATTATGATACGGGCTGCGGATACTCTTTAAATAATCGGGATTACACTTTCTTATTATTATTATTATTATAATTATAATTATTACTCAGTAAATTACGTGTGTTTATTATCTAGAAAAAAAAAATCCTTAAGTTTTTAATAAAAAAAAAAAAATACAAACTGAGGTAATATATAAAAGCATATTTAAAATAAATTTGTTATTGTTAGTGCAAGTGACAGTTGACAGTTGTTAAAGATTGATTATTTAATTTCCAATTTTTATTGAGAGTGTTTCCTGAAAAAAGTGATCAAAACAATATTTTTCATTTAGTTTGTTTTACATTCTTTTTTTTTTTTTAATATGCTACTTTTTACATTTGTAAAAAGCATTTTAGATCGTTTGTTTTTCAAAAAAAAAAAAAAAAAATTAGTGAATTGTATAACAATTGAAAGATTCAAAAATAACTTTTAGAAATAATGTTTATTTACAATATAAATTCATTATCTATTTTTCAAAATGTTAATAATGATTAAAAAATAATTTATTATTATGTGATGATAATTAATTTAATTATTAATTTATTAAAATTTAATTTTTTATAATTATTTTCAATGAACTTATATACTTATATACTTATTTTTATTATAGATAACATTTCATTTTACCAATAAATGTTTAAAGAGAAAAATATAATATAATTAAAGTGATATAAGTAATAACTACTGACATTTAGTTTAAATGAAATATTTAAACAAACAATTAAATAATATAGTAAATATAAGATAATTTGTATAGTAATTTTAAAAAGATAAGGTCTAATATGGTTATTAATGATCGTTTCTATTATTTTTATCTTAATTATATAATTGTCTTTTCAAAATTATTGTAATTAAATAATCAAACGGTATTTATCAGGGCCGGCTTTACGGCGAGGTATTTTTCACAGACGTCAAAATTAAGTGAAATTAAAAAAATCTATATTTTAAAAAAAATTGTGCTTCATAATCATTAAATTAATAATTATTTAAATATTATTGTTAAAACAGTTTAGAAAGTTTTTATTTAAAAAAAAAAAGGTAAGAGGATAAATTTTATATTTGTCTGGGGTGCAATTTTGTCTAAAGCCGACATTGGTACTTAGTCTAATTAAATCTATTATTATTTTATTTATAATTCAATGATATTTATATTAAAATTTAATAACTTCAATTATATGTATTTTATTTATTTTGTTATTAATATTTCATTTAACATGTATAAATATCATTTAGTTGGTTTTCAAAAATAAATGTTTTATCTTTATATTTTTTAAATATATATGTGGGTAGTTCGGAATCTTGATAGCAATTTAAAAATCTCTGAATATTATTAAAATTCCTATTTTTATGAAGGAGATTACTTGCGTGAAAGAAGGTTTGAATTAAAATTATCTCATATAATATATTTTTTATGAAATTTTAAATTTATATATTCTAATTAATGCGGAAAATTCCCTCTTCTATTTTCAATATTCCAAAATTGAAAAGAGAGCTAATTCTTTAAATTATTTTGTATGAATAATTTCAGAAAAAAAAATATACAATACATTTATATTGTTTCATATATAGGTGAATTAAAATTAGTTGTTATTTTTTAAAGAAAAAAGGAGAAAAAAAAACCCACATTATATATTATTAAATGTTAATGAGATAACGTCACGAGTTAGCCATCAGGTTATTAATTATATTTTTCATATCAGCAACTAATACCATAACGTTTATGCACAATCACACGCTTTGTTATCTCATCTTATCTATTTTTATACGAAATTTCAATTTAATATTTACCTTCTTCGCAATTAGATATATCTTGATATCCAACAATCAGTGAAATTAAGTCAATTATACAATTATATATATGTAGATAATCAGAGTAAATGATTTACAAACTAAGATTTAATTGGCATTTATTACATTGTGAAAAAACGTTTAATTTGAACAACAGAACATGTGTTTGCGTATAATTTATTTTACTATACCGCAACACAGTTTTCCTAAAAGTATCAAATTGAGACCAAAAATTGCATCAAATCTTTGCAACGTTTTGATGCACATAAGTTATATCAAAAAGAGATCGTTTTGTGTATAATTTTTAGAAATGATACACGAAACGGTCTCATTTTTTGATGCAAAAAATTTAATCAATTTATATCAATCATGGCCGAATTAAATCGACTCAAAATTAAACGAATTTTTTTCAGATATTTTGGTAATAGTACAATTGCGGAGACCATTTCACTATTTAATTTGAAAATGAAAATAACAGAAAATCAAAGACAATGTGCAATTCGATAATTAAAAAGTGACAGCTTATAAACATAACCTAAAATGCATGAGGAAAAATTTGTCGATAAAATCTATATAGCCGAGCTTTTTAGAAGGTAGATGGCAGCACTCATCTATTTTCTTTCTTTAAATTTTTTCTGAATCGGTTTCATAAAAAGCAAAACTGCCATCTACCTTCTAAAAAGCTCGGCTATATTGATTTTATCGACAAATTTTTTCTCATGCATTTTAGGTTATGTTTATAAGCTGTCACTTTTTAATTATCGAATTGCACATTGTCTTTGATTTTCTGTTATTTTCATTTTTAAATTAAATAGTGAAATGGTCTCCGCAATTGTACTATTACCAAAATATCTGAAAAAAATTCGTTTAATTTTGAGTCGATTCAATTCGGCCATGATTGATATAAATTGATTAAATTTTTTGCATCAAAAAATGAGACCGTTTCGTGTATCATTTCTAAAAATTATACACAAAACGATCTCTTTTTGATATAACTTATGTGCATCAAAACGTTGCAATAGAAAAAGATACAACCAAGTTTACTGTGAAATGTTGTTAAATTAAAATTTTTACTACTTATCAATATACATTAAAAATCAACCAAATTAAAATTTTTAAAAGTTTGTTTCTAATATTAAAGTGTATTGAAAAAATAAATTTAACAATACAAATTTTGTTTTAGGTTAACTTATCAGTTGCTATAAAGGAATTACAATCGAGGAGGTTGGTCAAATAATAGGGGGCACTGTTAAAGAGGTCCAAAAAGATTTGGCAGAATAGGCAAACACAGGCAGAACAGTGGGCGAGGGGGCGGGAGATCAAGAGGCGGAATGACACGACCTCCAAACAATGAAAACCTTATGACTTTCAAACTCGTCGTAGTCGGAGATGGAGGAGTTGGAAAAAGTGCACTTACAATACAATTTTTCCAGAAATTATTTGTTACCGACTATGATCCCACCATCGAGGACAGTTATATTCAACACACCGAGATTGATAAACAGTGGTGCATTCTCGATGGTAAGCTTTTATTTTATTATTTCTTATACAATAATACAAAATATTTCCAAAAAATAGTATTTTTTAGTAAAATATTAATAGTCCCCCACCAGCAACAGTGGATATCGAGTTATGTGGAATGTATGCATTCTTATTGATATAAAATGAAATGAAATAGTATTTGATTAAATAAAAAAAGAATTTAAATGATGATTAAGAAAATGTCAAGTAAATAAAAATGTGAACTTGAAAAAAAGGTGATGAGAGTAGGAGAATTAAATAAAATAAATTTTCATGAAAAATTATTAATTACTCTAAATTCTTAGCGATACGACCGCTCGACGAAATGTGTCGCTCTGTCAGGCGCGCGTCTCCTTTTATAGCTTTTCATGCACAGACGGAATATGCGCCCCACTTTTCACTCATTGGCTGCTGGTGAGTTGGAGATGGTAAACTCGTCGCACTGTCAGCATGGAAGGGGTTCGATATGCGCACTCACCCTATTTTCATTTCAGTTTACAATTTTATAATCAGAACTGAAGCAATCATAATCAGAACATATTACCCTAATTTGCTATATTTTAAAAATATGATTTTAAATTTAAAATTCTTTGAAAAAATCAGTATAATCTCTTCTACTTCACACTATTTTCAAGTCCAGTATTTCTTAATAGTATTCAAGAAATTGTTCTATAAAAAAATTAATAAATTTTTTCAGTGTTGGATACAGCAGGACAGGAGGAATTTAGTGCCATGCGAGAGCAGTATATGCGTAAAGGGGACGGATTTTTGTTAGTTTATTCCGTCACCGATAAACAATCTTATGAAAATATCGTCAACTTTTACACACAAATTTTAAGAGTCAAAGACAGAGATGTATATCCAATGCTGCTTGTTGCAAACAAAGTGGATTTAGTTCATTTGAGAAAAGTTTCAGAGGAACAGGGTAGGGAATTGGCACATCGACTGGGTATTCCTTACATTGAAACATCTGCAAAGGATCCGCCATTAAATGTGGATGTTGCTTTTCACGAGGTATGCAATTGTCGATTAATTATTACAAATAAATTTTAAGTTCAACAATTTTTTTTACAATTATACTTAATAACGGTAACATGTTTTTTCTTTCCTCTCAGAAATAGAACTCGAATCGGAACCCTTTATTTTCAAAATTTTAAAACCTAAAACCCAGTTTTTCTGTTTTTAATGCAATAGTATGGACAAAATAATATATATTTATAATTAATTTATAAATAAATTATTATTATACTATATAAAATGTACAAAATTTAAACTGTACTATTATTAAACTTTATACTATCAATTATATACTATTATTGTATTGTCCTTTGATGGTCTGTTAAGACAGTGGGTGAAAGGTAGTGGAAAATTTGTATTTACAATTTACAAACGTTTTAGAATCATTGAAGCAAACAGTAGTGATTTTATTCATTTTTAATTTCTATCGTTTTATTATTTTTTATATAAATTAATTACAATTATTATTAATGGACGTTAATTCGGTGAATCGTTGTGAATTTGAAAAAAATATTTAAAATGAAAGTGGAGGCTCAAACAGGAAATAGATCCGTGTGGAGTAAACAGCAATATGAAGCAGTGAAATCAATTTTGATTAATGGAAGTGAAAAAAAGTCAAAAAAATTCTATCATTACTCCAAAATGTATGAAATTCTGCAGATTGGTTCGGAGTGCAGTATAACGCGATGTACACGCGATATAAGTTGTCTAAATGCCGAATCTTTATCGGGCAGTAAGCCTACTCCCTACGCAAATAGATGAATGTGAATGATTTCTACGTGAATTCCTCTAATTGCCAGCAGTAAGCCTACTGCCTAGGAAGTAGAATTACTCCCGGATTCTTCTATTTCCCTACGACATATATACTCATGACATACTAAAAAATTATTATTCACAAAAAGCATTATTATATCAACCTAAATATTCATTAAAGATCAAAAGCAAAAAAAGAAAACTGCATTCTCGTGGTTTATAGAATCGTTAAAGGGTCCTTACCCTTATTAGACAAAGAGTGGTTCATTTCAGAGAATTTCTCCTACCTTGATAACAGTATTACTTTTTACGGTATTCAACATTACTCAAGACCAATGTATATAATGTAAAATTCTTGTTCTAAACAGTCAAATGGTCCTTTGGGCGTCTAAATGTCGAGTATTACTCGTCTCTAACGTACAAATACGGTATCGTTTTTCTGACCGACTATCGCCGTTTATGTTTCAAGATTCGTATTATAAATCATCATTATAAATCATCTTGGTTAAACTTAAATATTTTTAAATTGAAATTTCTTTTCTTTCTTTGAAATCTTTAATTTAACAGTGACAGATCCAATTGATAAAGTCTTTATAATATATTAAATCTGCGTTTATCTCCAATTTAAAAGAAAGGATTTATTTACTTTTGAAAACTTCCTATCTAAAAAGTTATATGTAGTCAATTATTATTTATTATTTCTGTTTGTGTAATAATTATAAAAATATTTATAGGTGGTACGCATCATTAGAAATCAACCACCGGCGGAGCTTGAAAAAAATCGTCGAAAACGAAGGCGTTCAGGGAAGTGTAATATTTTATAAGTCACTGTATAAAATCCTAATAGAATCGCAAGAAAAAGAAGCGCATTAAAAAATTCCTTACACACATACATTCAATTCCTGATGCGAAACTGCAAAAAAAAAAAATTAATTAGTATTTTCCTCATTCCTGCTGTTACTTTCACTATATAAATAGTCAATTTTTGTTAAATTGTCACACAGACACATATAAATAAATAAGCAGTATCTTTTTCTCGCGACACTATATTTATATAAATATCGCATCAAAAAAAAATGTCAAAAATGTCCGAAAAAAGTGCATTCCTGCCATTTATTCTTGTGCTAAACGAAAATATAAACGCATTAAAAACGAAATTGAACATGACACAAACGAAAAAAAGACAAAGAAAAAAAATAATAATTTAATAAATATAATAATGAATCGAGTCGCATTGTAGAATTGAGTTAGATTTTTCACTGACGCCGCTGTAGATTTATATTCCTATATAGGTATATATACATATATAGAACGGGAGAGTGATCCATTTTTTAAAAACCGACTGTATTCATAAATCTTTTTGATGTTAAAAAAACTAGACGGCGTCCATTCATATATATATATATATATATATATATATATATATGAAGACATCAATTTTTTACCATCGACATACAAACGGAATTGATCATTTTTTATTAAAACTCGTAACTTTAAAAGAGTTTCTTATATTCTTCGACTTTGAATCTTGTCATGAAATGACTATAATAATTTTTGTATAACGAATTAGCTCATTTGGAATAGCTGCCAATAAGCTTTATACTATCGTCTTTTCTAATTTTAGTTTGCACCGCTTTATTCTCTTTTCTTTTAGCCTTTACAGTATATGCGATGTCCTTGTTTTCAATATTGCACTCTATTTTCGTATTTTACGAAATGGCGATATATATTTATCATTTTTATTACTTATTATGTTATTATTTATTAATACGTTATTTTCAAACAATATGTTCCATTCGAACAAAATTTGTACTCACTAAAAAATATAGTTTAAATTTGTATTTTTCAGAAAAGAAATAGTTTTCAAGTTTTAAATAATGGCATCAAAAGCACAATATTTTTTTTATTGTTTTTGTAAAATTACAATATTTTTAATATACATATTTTTAAGGTTTCCAATTTTTTTTTGTAAAAGTCACTGTTTTTAATATTTATTGTTTATTACGTTAGAATATTATTATACTTTAATTCAATTAGTGTGTTTTAACATCGTCTCTGAGAAAAGTATTTATTTTTTTATTCATATACGAATCTTTTTGATCGCAAATATATAATTATCCAAAATAATTTATATTTTACTTATATTATTTTACAAAAGAAAACAATATATTTTTTCTTTAAAAAAAACTACCTCGCGGTATTTTGCTTCCTTATAGATAAAAGAATATGCATATATAAATTTTTAACAAAGAAAATGAAAAATTTTTTCAGAACTCATATAATACAATTGGATATTTTTAGATTTTATTATTTTTTAGATGATTCAATTTGTGACATGTTAAAATGAATCAAGAAAATTTTTTTCATAATTAATAGGTTTGCATTTATTAATAGAATCCTATTAAAAATATATTATTCTGTAATATTATCATTTTTATTATATTAAAGTTTCTTTTTTTTGGCACTCGAGGGTCCGACACGAGAAATTATAATTTATAATAAATATCGTTGTCTTCCCTTTTTCACTACATTATATATTATAATTTTTAGAAAAAATTTTTTTATCATTTAAATTATATTTTACCTCTTGTGCTAAAATTATTATAATAAAATAAATAGATAATCATTTTCATAATTATATTTTGTAAATTTCGTATCGGATCCGTCTAACGATATTAAGGAATCGATGCCATGGCCTATATTATAGATAAGAGGAAAAACATATATATTCGTATAAAAATATATAAACAAAATATTACGTATATATATAATGATTGTGCAAACGAATTATAATATAAATAAATATTGCGTGTCAGTGGTTTCGCATAATATAATTTAAAGAATCATTTTTGCATGATTCTTTTTTGAAAGAAATTTTTTTAGTGAAAAATTTTATCTTTTTGACATAGTAGACATTTTAAGATGTAGTATATAAACGTATATTATATGCACAAATAATTCCCAAGAAAAATATTGTATTGAATATTGCATGATCTCTGTTATCATTGACTTAATATAATTTTATCATTGTTTCGCTGAGCTGAGCGCATAAACTCATTAGAAAGCTATAAATTGAAATGTTTTAATACAATTAAAATTTTATTTTGATTATATTAAATCAGTGCTTTTATTTATTTTTTTTTGTGTCAATTTGCAATGTCGCCTGTAGACAACATTGGGCATGAACGAATTAAAATCGACAAATATTTTAATAAGATGAAAAAAATTAAGTTTCTGATAATTATTTTAAAAATAAAAAATTTATATTAATTGTAAATAGATAAATAAGAAAAAATAAAATTTTCTATTGAAATATTTCAAGGCCAGCTCTATATATAACCAAGAAAGCAGACGAATTATATATACTTAATAAAGTATATAATTATTACAGTATAGATTATTTACTGTAAGACAATAATATTCCATTAAATTTATTATTATTTAAATATTTTTATCCCCAAAATGCACAAGGCTAATTTTCATTAAATTAATCATAAGTTTCTAAGTTTCAATCTAACAATTTTGTTTTCTGACATCCAAAGTTTTAAAGATAATGTAGGTTCGCAATGAACAACAAGACTAACATTGTTTCTTATAATAATGTAAAAAATTGAGAAAAATAGAGGGTCTTTTCAACTCTCTTGTTAATTTCATTAACTTTCCAGACAAATTTTTTCAAATCTGATGAATTAAAAAAAAAGTCCTCCATATTGGGTCGGCCATATTTAATTTTTGAAATCTGACTTCACATTCAGAAACATCAATTTTCCCCCGTGTATCTTTTTAATTTAAACGTCAGTATTTATTGACCTTCTTTAAGTGTATTTTCATGAACAATTAAAGACATACATAGTTATTAATAATTAATTAATTAATTTAACAATGAATTATTATTATTGTGTATTATATTAATACAAATAGATATATAGAATGTGGGTGTTGGATTTTTATTTATTTAATAAAACAATTGAGCATAATTATATTATATAAAAGAAGATGGAAATCCAAAGTAAGAAATTAATGCGAATAATTCTTTTGATGCTCCTCAAATTTTCAATTTCTATTCAATGTTAAAATATTTTCAAAAGAATGACAAAAAAAATGTAAAACTCAAAAATGGTGCCTGCTCGGGAAAAGAGAAATGTTCATTAAAAAAAAAACACTGAAAGAACAATTAAACTGACAATTTTTACAATGCAAAAAAAATTAATTAATTTTGATAAATTTATCGATAAATTAATTATTATAATTCTATTATTTCTGCGATATTAACATACTATGATATTTATAATAATGTCAAGTTTTTATATATCACCGTCCATATAAATTGAGACCTCGGGAAGAAGAACTCGCCGAGGCCTTAATTACAAAAATGCTTATAATAATCGAGTGAATTCCAGATAAAACGAAAATAACAATAATAATAATTGAACAATGAAATTCTATAGGCACAATAAGAATTGAATTTTATTTTTTTATAGAAAAAGTTTCTTTCTAAATAATTGAATATTCGCGAACGAAGAATTAAACGAATACAAAAAAATTTTTTAGCATAGAACAATGCTTTTAAAGTAATGGAATGAATATTAAATATATATATATGTATAAAAATTTACCTATATGATACAGTCAATATGTGTTATGAAATTGTGATACTGCGAATGTAAAAGGATAAAAAGAATCGTGAGTGCATTGGTTGTAAAAATTTTTTTTTCCAATTGCTGTGGGTAATATTCCATTTCACTGAGAAAAAAAATCCCTTTACAATTCAAAAAAATTATATTTTCAAAACTTCTTCTAAACAATGGCACAATAAGAACAATTCTATCAACTATTTTTCCGGAATTTTTCTAAATAGAAAATTTTATTTTTATAATAACAAATTTTATCATTAATTACAGTGATAATTTATTTAATAAGTATTCTTTCCGTTAATGAATAATTTTAATTTTTTATCAGTATACCTTTCTATTAAAGAGTAATTTTTTTATTTAATAATTTTTCAATTAATTAGCAATTTTATATTATAAATTTTTTATTAACCCTTTTTTCAAATTATAATTCCCATAGGTCTTCTTTTTTGATTGAAAAGTAATGATTTTTATTATCATTAATTAAAAATATAATTGCCGTATATAGATTCATAAGTTAAATCGAGATTTTTTTTGTCCTAAATACCCACAAGATACTCCCCGATTAAAAATGTATGCCACTGTTTGCTCGCTGTAAGTATAAGGCGATTTAAACATTGAAAAATGAAATAATGTGAAAAATTTTTGCTGAAAAAGTATTGAGTGAAAAAGAAATGCAATGTGTCCATATCTATATGTAGATAGATATCAGTTCAAATTTTTTTGTTGGCTTCTTGTATTGTCTTTTTTTGGCAGCAATAATATTGTAAGTATTGTACGCAGATTTATAATTGATTATTAGAGATATTAATGTACAAGAAAAATGCATAAGTACGCACACGAAACAAAGAATTAAGGGTACACATATATAAGGTGAATTACAAAGGCAGAGGAGTTTGTTAAACGCCGCTGCAATTAATATGTTGACTATATACGAAAGAAAAAGAGATTCTATTTTCAAAACGAAAATTCCTCTTCGACAACAGTTAACATATAATATATAATCTAAGGAATACTATTGTTTTATATATATAAATAAACATAAATGTATATTTTTTTGTTGAAGTGTCTCTAACTGTGCAGGTCACTGTATATGCCATACGTAAATAATAAATTATAACGCGTGTTTACAAATTTATCTCTTTTTTTTACTACATACAAAACTCTAATAAGCGTCTTGTATGTTCACTTAAACTTTTCTTAAAGGAAAAATTTTTTCCTTATAAGCATAACCTTGCCCTTATCGTCCTTTTTAAAAATTTCGAATGCACGTGGTGAAAGTTACAACTTTTTTCGGAGAAAGTTCTAATTACTCAAAAATTGTTTAAATGGGCATATCTTTTAAACGGCTAAAGATTATTGATTTTATTTTAAATTTAAATTATTTATCATTATATTTTCAAGACAATCTACGTTATCTACACTTTTTAATTATTAATTTTGCCAAGACGCCAAGTTATTTTATGGAAAATAACTAAATGTAAAAAATAGTTAAATAACCCGACAAGTAAATTTTATAATTTTAATTAGGAAAAAATAAAATCAGCTCAGGAATTCCATTGTTACTTTACAGCAACAATAAACCGAGGAGATGGAGGGATAAGGAAAAACACTATTTAAACAAAATTTATAGCAGTTACACTATTTATTGCTAATCACTTCAAGTTTGATATTTAAGAAAGGGACAGAAAGCCGTCTAACAAGATTCAATTTGATTTTAATAATTATTATTATTTTTAAATAATAATGAGATCGATTCAGAAGGAAAACGACTCATAATATGTAACTGGGAAGTCTGCCCATTTGACGACAACGATGACGCCTCGTGCCAAAAATTATAAATTTATCACATTTTAAATTTAATTTCACAAAAAGGCACAAAACTAAGTTTACACTACGGACACCAAAATGAGAATGAGAGCAAAATGGCTGACGAGTTAAACTTGAAAGCGTCGCTAAACAGCGGCCTCTCTTTTCGGTGTCATTGAGATCAATTAATATTCAATAATATAATACCCGCGACCGATTGCCGATACGCAGTCGTCGATCACGCAGATCCCTGCACTATCCGATGTTAAATTGATTAATGTAAAAAGTCCATAGGAAATTCACTGCCCATATATATATATCCCATAATAGTTCGACAAATCGTCAACAAAAAAGCAATTTCGTCTTCCTGGTGTTCTTGAATATTCGGGACTCTGATCCAAATATATACACCAGGAATGAAAAAGAAAATTAATAATAATAAAATTAATTATAAAGTCGATAAAACATTTTTTGGTTTTTTTTCCTTTGTTTTTTATATAGGAAATTTTATAATTTTGATAGCATTCCTTTTCTTGGAATATTGTTAAATGGTTGGGGAAGAGGATTAAGTGAATGTTTTATTTTAAAAGCATCAATGTCAGTGATTCGAATCGGTTGTTGATCTTCAGTTATCTTCGTTGCTGCGATTTGTTCCTTCAATTCGGAAGGAACTTCTCCTGACGAAATCGCATGAATGGATAATTTTTTTCGAAACTGCGCATTATCGCTTATGTAATTCTGAAATTAAAATTTAAAAAATTATTTTTCGTCCTATTTACTTCTAGATAAATAAATTAAAAAACAAAAATTTGGTTCCTTGATAAAAAAATTGTATAATAAATAAAATTATTTATTTAATTATATTGTTTAAATGATTCATTAAGTCGTTTAATTAGCTTTTTAGTTGACAATATATATTTATTAGATTACCTCGTAAAATTTACATAACTGTTCCTTAGTTATTGTCCTCAAATACGTTGCTTCTATTTTTTTTCGGTCAAAATTGTATACTTGAGATGAAATTTCATTCCAATAACTAGAGAACATATTTGACATTGTTTCCGGCTTTCTAAGTTTATTTACTGCGAAAATTTCCTTATTTTCATTGAATTCCTCTTCACACATATTTTTGATGTAATCCTGTTTAAAAAAAGTAATTTGTAATTGTATGTATGTAAAAAAGGAAAATAATTACATTAATATTATTAATTCATTTTCTGTCAAAGTCCAACAATTTTTTTCAAACCTCCATCGATTTTATAAATATATTAATCCGTTCTTCAATGTTTTGGGGATAATTACGGCCAGCTACAGTCAATTCTAAGCAATTGATATCATTCGATTTTTGCAAATCACACCACACGTGTCCCAAATCTTCTTTAAGACTCAAAATTTCAAAACAAGGTTGTCTAATTATGTCATAAAATAATTCAAGAAGCATATTTAACTCTATGGATTGTGATCCAATTTGATAATAATAAATATTCGTCGCATAGAATTCTTTACTAGTGCAAGATTCATTATTTTGTATACTCTGCGTTTCATACCAATAGTTTGAGCCTGTAAATGGAAAGTTAGGGGAAAATTAATTAATTAATAATTAGGTTTCTATACTAAAATAATTTAGAACTTAAGAATGTCAGGTGTTACCTGGTGCTAAACTAACTTCTCGAAATGGAACACATTGCATAGGTAACAATGGTTTAATATTTCCTTTATTAAAATTGTGAGCACTTGTTAGTTTCGATTCGATTAAGGATCCAATTTTTAGTGCTTCGTCTTTTGTAATATTTCCGTAAATTAAGGATTCAACGTGTATGTTCGAAAAGAACAGTTGCATATAATCCCGTGCACTTTCAACCGTTAATTCTGAAAAATTGAATCGAATTTAAATAAGAATAAAAAATTAGTCCATAAAATACTAGTTTTCAAAAATCTTATATTTTGCCTCAAATATATAGTATGGTAAAACCTACGTGTATATGCGCCCAGTAAATCATTTTTATCCCAAGCTTTTTCAGTTAATAATACTGAGCAATAGTATTTTGCCTGACGAAATGGTGGATAGGCATCTAAATTCTCTAAATCTATCATATACTGAAATCAATTAAATTTATTCAAAAAATAAATATAAACAAATTTACAAATCAATTTAGTTTTTTTTTATTTTTTAATAAAAAAAATTAAATTTCATCATATACTAACTTTTTCCTTCATGTTTTCAAAATTTTTTTCATTAATTTTGAAATTTATCATTTTATCCATAATTTTCTCTATTAGAACGTCTTGCTTGTGATCATATCCTTCAATTTTAAACTAAAATAAAAATTTAAACAATATAAAAGACATTTAGAAGAAAAAGTGTACTTCAAATGAGTAGCGTACGCTACTCATTTTAAAATGCAACAAAAATGAGACTAGGTTTTTTCTGTGCACTTACATTTATGCCATACGAAGTAGCAGAGAGAATAAATTTTAAACCAATCAAGTCGGCACATTTGGCATAATCTTTTAACGAGTCTTGCAGTAGTTTCACAAACATGCAATTATTATTGAAATTTATTGGATTGATGTAAGCGAACGGACTGTAAAAGAAATTAATTAAAAATATATGAATAAAAATTCGATCTTATATTTTCTTTTTCAGTAGCGATAATTTTTTATTAAAAAAAAAAATGTTACCTAACAAAGTTAAAAGTCATATAAGCTTCTGGCAAAAAAAATTCATCATCCTGCTTGAACCAAACTCTCATAAATCGTGTATCTTGAATAATTTTAGGATATTTTTCAATCTGAAAATTTATATAATTATTATTTGTTCAGTATGACCATATGAAATTATGAATTAATTATTTTCAAATTAAAAAATAATAAGTTTACTATACAATTCTGAAAAAGTTGAATTTGAACATTTTATTATAATAAAATAATTAATGACACACAAAGCAGACTTACGACTGAATTCTCAAGTTTCAAATCAAATTTAGTCGGAATTAATTCGTTTCTCGTTGGCAATTTCAAGTCACAATTATCACCAGCATTTCTCCACTTCTCAATGAGATTAGCTGGTATTTTTTCCTTTTTAAATTTTGATTTGTAAATGGGTTCAATTTCCGTAGCAATATTCTCGAAAGATTTGTCGAAAATGTGAACTCGAATATTTTCCGGAGTCAAATAATCGACGAGCTTTTTAATAAGATCTGGTCTCCATTCAAAGAATAATGAATTAAATCTATTAATTATTTCTTCAATTGGACAATCTGGCATAATATTTACTATATTAGAGACATAACTAAAACATAGTAAGAATCGGAAAATTAAAAATTCTTGCCTTTCCATAAATTAATCTATCTTTTTAAATTCCATTTCGGTTTAATTTTTTTTGTATATTTTTTGTTGGGACTAAGTTTTGCATTTCAAACTACTAAAGTAAGTCTTATTTTAAATATCTTTAAAATTAAGTATCTATAGTACAACTGATATAACTGCCTGGACAAGTTGGTTCAAATCTTCAGATCGATTATTTTTTTCTGCATAAAATTTTTAATTTTTCAATTACTTCAAACAGATAGAAAAAAATTGAACAGAAATAGAATTCAGAAGAATTAAAAATTCTCAATTTTTCTTAATTTCTCGCTTCTTACAGGTAAGGTACAGTACTCCTTGAAATGGACTTCATACATAATACACCCTCATCAGGATAAATAAACTAAAAATGTATAAAAATTGATATAAAGTTTTTAAAAGACCACAATTTATACAATTTAAATGATATGGGCTTCGAGGTCGTTGATTATTATAAATCTTTAGTCAGATTTTCATAAATCTAACTAGTGTGTAATGATAGTTCGAAATCCGCCGGTAAATATTTGTACTAAATATTGTCGTATGTCGATAAATATATTACCAACCGCTGAGTACGCAGACGTAGTACCCGATCTCGCCGAGCTCTCTTGCGTGCGCCCAGCCCACCGATCGGCTATATAAGCTGTGCTCCCGCAGAAAATCGTCACACTCGTGCCAGGCTCGGTAACCTTCCTCCCAGATATGGCGAATTTTAAAGTTATGGAGAGGGGTACAAGGGGTAAGGGGAAAATTAGTTCGACCCTCGTGGTAGGTGGCGCTGTCCTCGAGGTAAATCATGTGACAACAGCGCGTTATTGTTTTGAATTTAAAATTTGGTTATGGCTTCGCGGTGTTTTGAAGTTTTTTGATCCTGAAAATGGAACGTGAAATAAAAATCCACGGAGGAGTGTGTGTTGTGCCCGGTTGTGGTTACTGCAAGAGGATTTGTGGTAAGAAACAGCATTGTCATAAAATACCGAGGAAGGAAAGCATTCGGAAAAAGTGGTTAGACAACATAGGCTGTCAAAATTTAAAGAAACTCTCGAATGAAGAGATAACATCAAAGGAACTGTTTGTTTGTCCGCATCATTTTTTACCGAATTCTTATTTAAGAATACGCAAAACGGTGCTTTAAGATTAAAAAACGATGCAATTCCAACTGAAAATTTAGTGCCAAGACAATGTGAAGCTCCAACAGTTGAGATTTCACCTGAGAAGGAAGCAGCCATAGAAACGAGTGTCCAAAATTTTGCATCCACTTTAGAAGCGAGTGAATTAAATGGAGAAATAATTTGTGAGAATATTAATAATTTGAGTAGCGTAAGTATTCTTTTTTAATTATGTGTATATGCTTAACAAATAATTTTTGATTTCTGTCAAACAAATTGGTCTTTTCATGTTTTTATATTTTGTTATGAAAATATTTTTTTAAAGATAGATTTTCTAGTTTCCTTTGTACAATTTTATGAAATTACAGAAAAATGATGCATATCTTATTTTATTAATAAAGTTTCTACAAAAATTTGTATCTTTTTACAATATGCTTTGCAAAAAATATTGAATATAAATAACTTTGCATTTTTTGTCATCTTTAAATTTTTCCTGAAAATTAGTTTAATTTTTTTTATAACTTTTTATGGAAAATTTTCTGTTCTGTTTGATAATATTAAGTTTTATCACTAATTTAGGTTATATATAACAATAGGTTGTTATAATATTACAAATAATTTATGTGAAAGTTTCATTAAAAATAAATTGTTCACAATCTCTGGTTTATAATTTAGTTTATAATATATTTTTCCATAGTCAATTAATAATCATTCGACACCTTATGTGGATGAGCCTATGGACACTTCAACGGAGCAACCAAATTTATTAAATCAATTAAAAGCGACTACGGAGCCAATGGATACATTGTTTGCGTCACCTAACATGCCAAATAAAGTGGAGAAAAATACAGAAGGTGGTAATGTACACTTGGAAGAAGAATTTGCGGAACGCTCAACTTCATTCGAATCTTCTAGGGTTTATGTAAGGCCAAATAAACAATGTACTTGGAAGCAACCATCTATTCCATCTCCGAGAGAACAAAAATTGCTTCAAAAATTGCAATCGAAGAAAGCGAAATTGTACAACTTGCAGAGAAGGTTGCAGAGGTATCAATTTTATAATTAAATCTTAGACACTATTTGGACACGATATTCAAAAAAATTTTCATAATAGAAAAATTTGTATATAAATTTTGAAATTTTTTCTATTCTTATTCTATTTTTATGTTGAATTAAATATACGTCTACAGTAGTTATAATAAATAAGAATAAAATTTCACTTTTTATTAAAAATTGTTTTTTATCTGTATATATGAAGCACTGAGAAAACGATTTTTTAAACAAAATTCTTATGGTTGATTCAAACTTATTTTATCTTTGCTTTACGGTTATACACATTTAAGTTTAATTAAAATATATTTTTGGTTAAGTTAATATATTTAACTTAAAAACTTAATATTTGTTTGTTTCAAATTAATTTTATTTTTTCTATTTAAATGAAAATTTTGAAACATATATTCCTTGTTTCATTGAAGTAAAGCATTCTTTGTGTCAAATATTTATCATTTAAACAAATAATATTTTTAAATTAAATTTGAAAATTGTTTTCAATTAAATATAAAAACTTATCTTGAATTTAAAAATGAAAAAATCTTTTTCTCAGTATGAGTAGACTAGGATAGCACGTCGAGTATTTAAGTGTAGTAATTAAGCAATGTAATAAAGTTAATAAATACGTTTTATTTATAAAATTAATTTAGTTACTAACTAATTTAGTTCCAACCACCTACACTTTCCTTTCATATTAGATGTAAGCGCAAGTTGAAAAAACCACAGGAATGTTTAGAGACGAAAAAATGTCAGCGAATTCTCCGTAAACTGACGAGAGTACAGCAATCATTTGTAGAAATGGTACTTAGGAATGGTCTCAGAAATCCCTCCGGCAGGCGATATGAGAAGGAGGAGCAAATTTTATGTTTGTCCATTTATAAAACCTCTGCTAAGGCCTACAGATATTTGAGGACTTTCCTACCATTCCCGTCTGTGACAACTCTTAAAAAGATTTTAAAAAATATATCGATGGATGCTGGGGTAACCGAAGAAACTCGCTTACGATTAAAAACAGCTGGACAAGCCGCAGTTTCGGATAAAGAAAAAGCTGTTGTTGTAATGTGGGATGAATTACTGTTAGGTTTAGGTTTGCATTATGACGAATGTAAAGATAAAGTTGTGGGATTTGAAGATTGGGGTAACGTTCGAACAAATAAATTTGCTGACCATGGGCATGATACAGAAAGAATGAAAGGAAGCGATTATATCCTACAGTGTAAGTCCATTATTTTAAATACTTTTATATTTTTAAAAATAACGGTAACTTATTTAAATATTGTTCTTAAAGATGGCTGTTTTATTTTATTTGACATGGAGATAATTCCATTGTTTGATCCACCTCATTTGATTAAGTGCGTTCGAAATAACTTGATTGACAAGGATCTCGAGTTTGATGTTCATCCTAGTAAAAAATCGACGGAGAGAAAATTCGCTTCTTGGCAAGACATCGTAAATGTATACGAAATCGACATTTACGGACTACAAAATCAAAGGTTTTTGCCCAAGTTGACGGATAGACATATTTATCCTAATAAAATAAAGAAAATGCGGGTTAAAAATGCAATCCAAGTTTTTAGTCTCTCTGTTGCAAGTAGATTGGAAGGCTTAGCAGGAGGCAGAGGTACTATTTCTTTTATAATATGAACATAATTTGAAAAAATTATTTTTACCTTTTAAACATTCTTTTAAAAATTAGTGAATCGAATATTTAATCGAACTCAATTTTTTCTTAGTCTTTCTACATAAATAGTATAAGTCAAAAATACTTCTTTTCGTACTGTACTTATAATTTTCTTTAGAAAAATCTTGGGAATAATGTATCATTATTTAAATTATTTTTTCATTTTTGAGTATTTTTTAAAGATTTGTAAAAAATAAAAAATTGGGATTTTCAACCTTGCAAAAAATGTAATAAGAGGTAAATAACTTAACTTTAATTTTATATTTTTAATGTTAATTAAGATTATAATTTCAGAGAGAAATACATCTTTAGAACCCAGAAAAGTTCCTGAAGAAGGAGTAAATACTGCTTGGGTTTGTGCCTTTTTCAATAAGCTGGCTGATTCATTCAATGGAAAGGTGCGAAGAGATGAACATAGTTCATTCCGAACTCTATTAAATGATGATAGCTTTCACATCCCTTTTTTTAAAGAAGCTTTGTCTGTTCTGAGTCGAATGCGATATGTAGACCGTAAGACTAAAATTCCTGTATCTCGACAACCACCAACTCTTCGGAACTTAGTCTCAACTGTACGAGGATTCATCAGATTATGGGACAAACTAAAAGGTTTAGGTTTCCAAAATTTAAAAACGAAACACATTAACCAAGACCCTTTGGAGAATTTCTTTTCAAGAATAAGAGCTTGCGGAACCAAGAAACCGACCTGCTTTCAGTTTATAGGTTCCTTTAAGACCTTGGTCATTAATAACATGAGCAAAAGTCGTTCTGAAGGAGCAAACTGTGGCGATGATGAAAGTAACTTTGTTCTTTCTTGGCAAAATTACTTCGGTCCCACTGATGATGAACCTCAAATGCATTGCACTCGACCTGTCGTAAATGCACCACAGTCCAAGCTCAAAGCAATAGCTTGTATGACCGATCCAATTCCGGAAAAAGGTACCATTTCGACAGCAACTGATGTTATAATAAAGCAGATATTTAAAAAATTACCATCTATGGGATCGTGTGAAGAATGCAAGGCAGTTATGGATAAACTTGCTTTTACTCCAGCAAACTCTCGTCTTTTTTCGCGATCTTGTCTAGAGAAAATCCACTCTGACTTGAAATCTATTCTTCAAAGGGTTTTGAGTTCTATTCTACATGAGAAAGGCGTTGTCACCTTTTTATTAGACTTTTTAAAAAAAGAAGTCAGGACTGACGTATTTACGTGTCTTGAGCACAAATATCAAACTGTAAATTTTTTTTTTGTCCTCTGCGTTCAACAGTACATCGCGTCAACGACAGCTTTCCTTGTTGGCATTTTAAAAGGAAAAATTGTATATAATCTGAGCAACAAGCCAAATGCCAATTTCTTTGTTGTAAAAGCGTTAGCCAAATGGCAATCTGTTCTCAAAAGTCAACACACTTTCTCGTCACTGTCAAATCAATAAGTGAAACTGACTTATTTTCCTAATATCCAATGTTACCGTTTTCAAGAAAATTTTCCGGAAACCGGAAAATTTTAATAAACTTGGGAACTTTTCATGGAAATGTTTCAATGAAACCATCTCTATTAAGTTTTAATATTTTTAAAGTATGTTGTCAAAAAGTTGTTTAATAAATAAAATTTGTATTGTTAAGAATTTTTTAACAACATACTTATAACAATATTAAAAATATAGCGATTATACCTTGAGAAAGTTTTGCTGAATAAAATAAGCTTTTGTTTTCCAAAATTGGACAAAAATTGTGATTTTTGTCTAAACTGAAAAAATAAAATTAAAATGTTAAAATACACATAATTTAATGAAAGAGTTTGAACTATTAGCATTTTTTTGAAAGGTGTATAATTAGACCTTCTAAAAATGTTTGCAAATAATTTTTATTATAATTTTGTATGCGTTAAAAATTGTTATAAACAATATTTTAGTTCTGAGGTTATACAGTGCCTCCTTAATTACCCAGTTGTCCATTATTTAATTTATTTAAATTAAAATCTTTTTGGAGTTATCGTAGATGAGTGAAAATCAAAGAAAATGATATAATTATTTTTACAATTGTAAATATGTTAAGCACCTCGTTGTGAATGGTTTCATTTAAATTAATTTTCTGTAATTATTATTGATGAAATGATTGTCTTAATTTTGGAAAATTTCTTTTCAATATTTTAATTTTTTTAAATATATTTTTACAAAATTATGTATTTATTATAATTTCATAACCTCTAAAAAATATACATTTATATGTGCTTGAAAATGAATATATAAATATACTTTTCTTAATTTAATTTTTTTTCAATAGGTATAAAAAATTAATAAAATTAAATCAAATTAAATTAATAGAAAATTTTAAAAAACGAATATACAAATAATCACTAACATATTCAAATCAAAAGTTAGTTGAGCCCTCCTGTCAGATGGCGCTTCGTATCAAAAAGTACGGCCATATTAAATGCATGGTAGGTTACCGAGCCTGCACTCGTGCTAAACCGAGTCGAGGAGGGTATTATCCTACTGATAAGGGGTTTTACCCCGAGGAGTCTTAGTCCAGGACTTTTACTCTGAACATGTATCGTAGAGAATTTTACTCTCGTTGCAACGTGGTTTTACCCGTTGAGACAGTAATTCGGTTTTAAGTAAAATAGTGTAAAGTAACGTAACATAATGTAAATTAACGTAACGCAATGTAAAGTAACGTAACGAAATGCATAGTAACGCCTTATTGTATTCACGTAGATTATTTCTGTTATTTCTCTTAATACTCTATTCTGTTTTACTCTTAGTATAATTTGAACACGAGTTTTACTCGTGGTTCACCAGTATATCGCGGATTTTTAGACAGTATAGTAGTAGATTTCACGGCTCATCGTATCCAAGTTGAAGTCGATATCGTTATGGCTCAAATAAAGCGACTTACCAGATTGATGCCGATATTCCGATTCCGCGGCTGAACGTATCCCGATAAATGCCGACAATCGTTGCTTGAAACCGACTTCCGCGATTTACCTGTTACGCCCGTAAATTTTTCGACACCTTTAAATATGTAAGTAAATAATTTGTTTTTGTTTATAATTAACCCTGTTATTATTTTTGATATTAAATCAACGAACCCTGGTTCGGCAAGCTAAAAATTGATTCTCTAATTACAAACGTTACAAGTGTATTCCAAAATCAAGAAGACTAGAAACAGGAGGTCGAACTCGGGTAGTGGGGGTATGTATTGAGAAAGTGCCAAGAATGGGAGTTGGCTTTCAAGAAGGTACACTGTCCGTCAGACCATTATAAGTACTCTGCGCATACTGTGGAAGTGAGGTTAGAATCGGAATGTTGTTTGGTTTTGTTGTCAAATTTTGTCTTGGATTGTGTCAACAAAAATTCAGTTATTATAAAACTTTATAAGGTAATTATTACAATATATTTGATTATAATGCTTATAAAATTTTTCATCGGAATAAGAATTAGAAATAGAATTAGAAATATTAAATATATTGATTTTTATTTAATACTTTATTACTTGATACTTTGTTTTAAAACAAACAATATTAAATGGAATTTTTTATTGTTATATATATTCAACATTATTTATTATCAACATAAAATGCTAATCCTTATGAATTTTCAATCCAAAATTTTTTTATAGGACTCTGCTATCAAAATGGAAAAAATCAAGCAAAGTAAATCGCTGAATCAAATTCAGTTCAATTATAAAAATGGAATTTTAAATAATATAGATACTTTGCAATTGCCAAGCAGAAATTGGGTAGCAGTAAAAAGCCCAAAGAAGGAAATGAAGTTTATAAGAGTTGAAGAGGATCATAGTACATATTTAGCAGTTTGCTTCGATTTGGAATTAAATGTAAAAATTTACTACCATTCTGCATTGATGAAATGGATAAAATTTGATAATCCTACACGAAAAGAAGAAATGGAACAAATTTTAAACACAGTCCATAATATTATTGTTTCTGGAAAAATGTACATACAAAACATTGAATGTTTATAAAAAATGAAATTCGAAATTATTATAATTACATGAAATGCAATAATAATATTGACGTATAAATATTGTAACATGCACATATAAAATTGATGTCAGGTATTTTAATAAAAAAAATGTCAATAAAATTATATCCACTACTTTTCGGAAAAGAATACATACTTCTTTTCTTTTTGTTACATCCTAATACGCAACACTTTCTCACCATTTTGATATAAACAATTTTATATAATATTAATATTATATAAAATATATGTATATTGCCTTGGCAACAATTGCAACAATCTTGACAATCTGTCAAAAAGACAGAGAAGACGTTTCAAGATGCGCAGAAGACAGAAATTGGTTTACCGGACACTGTACTCTCACCGTGGCTCCTCCCAATCTAGAACAGTGTCGCGAACATACCGCTCTCTATGGGAAATGAGTGTAGTTCGACCTCCTGTTTCTAGTCTTCTTGTCCAAAATGTTGAACAATTTTTCAAAAACTTTCAAAAATTAATTTGATTTACTTAAAAATTTTTATACTTGGTGGTTTTCGTTCTCACAACATTTTCAAAACATTTTTATTATTAAAACTTTTTCAGAAAATGTAAAATCTTTAAATTGTGAATTTAAAAAAATATTTAGAAATATTTTTGGAAAAAATGCATTTTTTCAATGGGATGATATTACAAATATATATAATTACATTATAGAATGGTTCCAAATGTTCCTGCTTTTTAATCATATTAATATATTGAAAGAGTACAGTTATAATATCGTCAATGTGATTGAGACCATTTTTTGTGAGATTGAAATAAATTTTAAAAAAACTGAAACCTCGTGTATCATCATTTTTAAATAGTTCGACATCATTAATCACTCTAATCCATCCCTTTTTTTTTAAAATTGAAAGTAATGAATTTTCTTCTTTGTATTCAAATAATTTCTCCAAATAAGACACAGGCTATAGCAAAATAAAAACTAATTAATATTTCTGTCAATTAAATAATAAATAATGAGATTATTGTATTATATGTAAATATAATAGATATAAACATACAGAAGATTGATAATATTCCCGTAAATCCGGAATAGGAAATATTATAACCATTTTTTGCTTATTAACGAATGGCATATACCATTTACACTGTAATTGTTCTTCATTAAAAGGATGAGTCCACTTGGGTGCTTCTACGTTCTTATTTTCTATACCCGAAAACATATTTACAACCATTTTTTCTAAATCTTCCAAACTCTCTGAAATAGTTATTATTTTATGTCAATTACTAAACTGGTACACGGTTCGCGAGAAGGGTCTTTAATTAAAAATGTCGGGCTCATCTGATTTTTTTCTTCTAAATGGTAGTTCGAGATGCCAGGATGTCAGTCCAATAGTTTTTAAAATCGCAAACAAATGCCCCACCCCTTAAAATAGCATAAAACCAGAAAAAAAATGAAAAAATCAGGTTTTTCGTGGAAAAAAATACATGATGCTTATATTTTGATAAATACTTTCAATTTTTTTCTGGAAATAGTAGTTCGAGATACACAAAAGTCTAATTATATAATTAGTAACGTCTTAAACCAATGCCCACTTCTTAAAACAACATAAAATCAGTGAAATTATGAAAAACTCTGTTTTTATATGAAAAAATAAATATCAAGTTAAATTTATTAATTTTTTCATTATATATCTTCCTATATTACAAAAAGATATCGCCGCCGCCTCCACCGCCGCTGTTTCATGAATTCTTGACCTAGGAGGGGGTGAGTCGCAAAGGGATTCCCCCTAGGAGGGGGAATATAGCCGCAAGTCCCCTCCCCTCCCCCACCAGAAATGACCTAAATTTTGAGGTTATGTTCGTTTCAAGGCTCTGAATATAGCCGCAAGTCCCCCCTCCCTCCTCTCATTTCCCCTCCTCCGCCAAAAACGACCTAAATTTTGAGCACGAAGTAGTATAAGGAGACGTAACGCCATGCATTCAAAGCAACCCCAAATGCGTGTCCTAGAGTTACTAAGGTTTTCGAATAATGCTCTTGTAGCGCCTCTACTGAGATAAATCGGAATCAAAATATGTCGTCTGCTATCGCGTAAACAACTGTAGTTGACAGCAAAAGTGTTTTGATCACGAAGTGGTTTTGATAAAATATTGTGTAATAAATAAATAATAAAATAAATATTGTGAAATATTAAATATTAGTGAAAGTAAATGAAAGGTACGTTTTTCATTAAGAATTTAACAAATAACTTATGTTTTGAAGATTAAAATTACAACATTTATCATAAATATTACTTTATTTTAGGTTATTCATTAAATATTTGGAGAATAAAATAATAAATATAGAATGTAGTTGCTGAAGCCAAATATGGATTTTACAACATTCAATTTTACAACTTGCAAAACCAATTTAAGTATGATAGAATTGCCATCAGAAAAGTGGTGCTACATTCAAGGAAATGAATCTTTCCTTGCTTTTTTGAAATTAGAGAATGATGATAAGGCGAGTGTAATAAAAAGAGTTGTTTTGTATAGCGATTTAAGTATTAAAATTATTATAAATAAAAAAATTCATCCTTTTTCAAGGTTTGTGAGAATCGAATCTGTGGCTGACTTAATTTCATTATTAAAAGCTGTTGACGAATTAGAATAATCAAAGAAATGTTAAAGATTAACGTTTTTTATATAACAAATGTACTTATAATACTTGTATACTGTATACTGTACAATTTTATTAATTCCTCGCTATCTGTGCTGTTACATAAAAAAGTATAAAAATGACTTAATCAGAGTAAAATTTTCTTTTATTTATTAATTTAGTTTTAAAAAGATAATCTTTTTTTCAGTTCTCTATATATACATCATATTTACATCGGTAAAATTAAATATAAAATATACAAATATAATCTTTAAACGAATGAATATCTGCAGTCCGATTTATAAATGTCTATTAATTAAACAAACAATTAATATCACTTTCCTTTAAATATTATCACAGTTAAGTAAATGCCTTAAACAAGTGGTGCTTTATTTTATGTCATTTGTTTTTTTTCTTTGAAATTTCAAGAAACTTTTTTCTTTTTTCGTTTGGGCATGCGAGCACGTGATAAATTTTAATTCTCTATTTCTCCACGCGCGGCGTCCTCATCGCATTATTAGAAAAATGCGTAAACTCTAGGACACGATTTTGGGGCTCACTTTCACCACAATCTACTATGGGCGTTACGTCTCCTTATACTACTTCGTGATTTTGAGGTTATGTTTGTTTTAAGACCCTAATAAAGCAGTAAGTCCTTCCCCCTTCCCTCATCTCTCTCTGTATTTCCCGCCAAAAATTACATAAATTTTAAGGTTATGTAAATTTCAAGACTTTCAATATAGCCGCAAGTGGAGGTGGAGTTCCCGCCAAAAATGACTTGAATTTAAAGGTTATGTTCGTTTCAAGACTTTTTAATAATTTATTGGTTTTTAGGCAATTTCATTGAAATTATTTTTAAAAATAATTTCTTAATGTCGATTTTAATTTATTTAATTATTTATTGATTATTAATTTAATTAATTTATTAATTAAAATTTAATAATTTCAATTTTAATAATATTTATTTAGATTTCAATGAATTTGTAATAATAATTCTTTGAAATAGGTAATTCATTTGGAAAAATAAGATTAATGGAAAATTAAAAAAAAATGATTAAAACAGGGGGGTTGGCGCGCGAAGCGCGCAGGGGGGCGTAGGCCCTCTAGTAGTATATATATATACCCAGATAACCAAGCGTACTAATCGTTATTTACGAGTACGGCGTACTAGTATTATACTAGTTTTATACAAGTACAAAATAATTATATATGTCGTACCAGTACGGTACTAGTACAATAAAAGTATGTCGTACTGTTAGAATTGTAAAATATGATTACTCGATAAAAGTATAGTACTAGTACAATACCAGTACGTCGTACTTCTGAAATAAGAAGCACAACATACTTGTACGATACAAGTATAATACTGGTACGTCGTACTGGGAATCTTTGCTGGTAATGCCAACCCAACCTCACTTTCTTGACAATTGTCAAATATGAACGCGTCACTGAAAACGGTGCATTAAATGTTGGTGAAAAAAGTCGTTTATGATGCAGCAAAAGAGTTTTAACGTTTGTAACTTGTGCTTCTGTACTCATCTTGAATATCCGAGATTAAATTTATATTAAATTATCGATCTTTATAAGATTTATATTCTTTTACTTTGACATGGTGCCATGGTGTTATTTCATTGAAAAACATCAAAATCTTTTACATTTATAATGAGAAAAATTCATAAATTCGGTCTTGATCATATTGATATATTTTTAAATTCAATTGTGTGTTATTTCGTTATAGTTTTTCTTATACATATAACATATTTATAGGTTAGGATGTGATAATATGTTTTTCAAAGCAAATTTCAAAGCAATTTATAACATCAAGTTTAAAATTCTTTTGAAATAATGTTTAAATGTAAAGAAATAATCAATTAATATTTGATAAAGTTAAGTAATTAAAATAATATAAAATACCAGATATTTTAAGATAAGTGAGAATACAAGTTACATATATGATGTAAATAAAAAAAATGATTCAATAAAAATGAATTATTATTATTTCAGTTCTCCCACAGATTTTCTTTTGAATAATAAATGAAAATAATGAAAATACTATTGTGGGAAGAGAAAGGGGAGGGTATATAATATTTTATATTGTACATCATACTAGTATTGTACCAGTACAATAACAGTACGTTATACTAAGTCACAAAAGTTTTCAGTACGTCGTACTCGTATAGTACTCGTATTCTACCGATATTGCATACCGGTACGCCGTACTAGTACAGTACCTGGTACCGTGCGAAGGTACATGGCTGGTACAGTACTAGTACGTCTAGTACGTCGTACTAGTATTATACTACTACCGTACTAGTACGTGTGTTATCTGGGTATATATATATATATATGTATATATTATGTACATAATTATTTATCTATTTTTTTCATATAAAAACAGAGTTTTTTATAATTTTACTGATTTTATGTTGTTTTGAGAAGTGGGCATTGGTTTAAGACGTTAATAATTATATAATTAGACTTTTGTGTATCTCGAACTACTATTTACAAAAAAAATTGTATTTATCAAGATATAAGTACCATGTATTTTTTTTCCTACGAAAAACCTGATTTTTTCATTTTTTTCTAATTTTATGTTGTTTTAAGGGCTGGGGCATTTGTTTTCGATTTTAAAAACTATTGGACTGACATCCTGGCATCTCGAACTACCATTTAGAAGAAAAAAAATCAGATGAGCCCATTATTTTTTACTAAACACCCTTCCCGGGAACCGTGGGTACTTTGTGTGAAATGTAGAATAAATTAATAAAACAAAATATTAAGAACCTTTTCCAAAAACACTAAGAGTCATAATATTTGACGAATACCATTTATTGTGAAAATTAACTACTTCCTGTAGAACGTCAATGTTTTTCTGTTTTGGTATAATGTCAAGTGTCTCTAAACTGCCCTTGTTAATTTGAGAATAAGGATGATTTGGATTTGCCGATGAATGCTCAAGCTGAATATAATTATTAAACTCAACGTTAAATTCCAATGCTTTTTCGTTTTCAAAATTGATACATTTGATTTCTTGTTCCATGTTTGCTTTTGTAAATTGAGGTTCGAAAAATAATTTGAAAAATCGATCCAATTCTCCCTCCAATTTATCAGCATTTACATGAAAAGAGTAACAAGTGTTATCGCAAGATGAAAAGAAACTGCAGATTTCGGTATTTTGCAAAAGGTACTGAGCGTAATTACTTTTCATCGGACTTTGTATTTCTTTATTTTTATTTCTGTTTTGGAGCATATGTTGGCACAAACATGATAAACCTGGAATCTCCCGTGGATTGCTTAGAGAACCTTAAAAAGAATTTAAAATGGAAATTGGCATTATTTATTTTTTTTTACATCTTTTGGATAATTTCACATGAGATTTTGACAACCTTACACGAAAAAAATTTTGGTGCACCGGTTGTACTGGTTAGTTAAAAAATTTTTGTACTTTAAAAATGGACATCAGTTATTCCGGTTTGGTGCAATTTATGTCCCCTACAGTGCGTCTGATGTCCCTTAGAGCGCTCGCACAAGAAGTGACGGAGCAGTGTGCAGGATATGATTCAAATGAGTTAGAAAAGGACAGAAATACCGCTCTTTCTTTTTCTATCTCATTTGAAACACATCCTACACACTGCTCCGTCTTTTCTGCCTGCACAGGCAGCCAGTAAGAGCCATTCAGAGAGTCAGTAGATTTAAATTTGAATTTTCTGTCTCTCTTACTCTTGTACCTTTGCTGCGTGGTGGGGGCTGCCTTTACAGTGCTTCTGACTTTTTCCTTTTTTATTCTTCTTTTTTATTTTAAAAAGATTTTTTCTTTTTTTAAGAACAAGTGCTTCTGACGCACCAAATCAGGATAACATTTGCCCTCAACCCATAGTACAACAGTTCTACCGTAGATTGCGCATCTGATGCACCAAAAATTTTTCCATGTAGTCATGTAATGTTTATTAAAATCACATAATTTAGTTCTGCACGGAAAAACTTTGTGCAAGAATCATTCCTAAATTTGACGCAACCAAATCTCATATCCTCAGTTCCTGAACAAATGTAGGAATGATTCTTGAACAAAGTTTTTCCGTGTGGCGTTTCTTCAAAAGTTCATTAAAATATTGCAAAACTACTTTACTAACAATCACCAAAAGTTCATGTGACACACTGAGAAAAATATGGTATTGAATCAATAGCATTTTTGCCAAAGGTATAAAAATTATTGATTCAAAAGTATATGTTATAGAATCTATAAAATATTTTACAAAGATATATAGCATATGCTTTTTGAATCAATAATTTTTATACCTTTAGCAGAAATGCTGTTCATTGAATAGCATATTTTTCTCAGTGCATAAATTACATTCGATAGAAATTTATTAGAGCTGTGCAAAAGTTCGAATTTTGTATGGGCTCGGATGGAATATTCGATTCGAGCCCATGTTAATTCTTATGGAGCGGTTCGAATTTTAAAAACTTGCACAGCTCTAAAATTTATGTAGATAACTGAATTTTTATTCGACATAAGAATTAAGTTGGACAGAATTTTGAAAAAAAATTTATCTATAAGAAATACCATTTAACAATTTCTTACTGATAGCTTAAAGTGTCTTGACCCTTAAACATATAAGTTTAATGTATTTACAATTCAGTCTTCTGTGACCATATGAAATTTTAATCACGATCATTTACAGTAAATTTATTTTTAATTATATTGTTTCTTTCCGCGCTTATAAAAGCAGTTCCATCGAATAAGCTCGAGTTAGTTCTATTCAATGAAAATTTTGATAGATTTTATTCTATTGATTGGAAATTATAAGTCAGATGAGATTTCTGTTAAATTTAAATTATGTCCTAAAATCTCCAATAGTGAACTCTGCCAATTTTTGGTTAGGATAATTTTATACCCTCACTGCACCGGATAATTAAGGATATCCATTTGCTTGCGGCAGTTTGGATATTCCTAGGATAAACTTAGGATATCCTAGGGATGTCCAAACCGCCGGAAGCAAATTGATATCCCTAGGATATCCCAGGGATATCCTTAAATCTCTTGTGCTGAGAGTATAGAACACAATACTTATATAAATAAAATTAAAACATTACTTACCAACTTGAACATTTAGAGCTGCAGCACATTTATTTGTTGTCGGATTGCTAATTAACAGAACTTTCATTTCATTGGACAATATAAGGCCTCTATATTCATTTTTATCATTCTGGAACTTTTTAATGTTATCACTTCGAAATTTCACATTTTTCATGCATGTGTCTTTTATTGGAAAAGATTTCATCTCCGAGGATATTCCCCTAAAAAAAGGTATACATACATACGTTTTCACATTATACGAAACAAATGATTATAAACCGTTAAGGGAAACCGGCTACTATTGTACAATATCAACTTTTTACCATACATTTCATTGGCTTTGAGCAATCTCTAAATATTCTCCGATTTCGAAAAAATACGGGTATTTATCTCGAAAAAATTGATGGATTAGAGCAAAACATTTCTGATTTTTTGGACCACACCCTAATATTTAAATATATATATATGACAAAAATTCATACTTGCAAGAAGATGATTCCGTTACTGATAAGTCAACATTTTCACTAAACGATGTCATTTTTTTCAAAATTTCAAATTCAATCACTATAAACTACAAATTGTTTTAAGTGAAGAATTTTTTTCATTTATATATTATAGGAGCCACCTATTTTACGTCACGTGATGTGCTCCATTTTTCAAAATTTCATTAATTTTCATTAAAAAAAAATTAAATGAAAAATTAAATATAAATTTTTCATATATTTCGACAATTGTTAAATGTTAAGAAATCTCTTAAAATATATACATACCTTAATGTGTGTAGATTATAATGTTGCTTCTGGCTGTTTGTTTTCATTATTTTTAAAATTATTTCAATTGTATTAACTGTGTATATTCATTCTTGAATATGCTTCATTAGCTCTAGTTAATTTAATTTTTTTAATTTTCTAAATTGTAATTGTAATTTCCTTCAATTGTACCACCGTGCTGGTACAATAGAAGAGTATATATTTTATAGGTATAAAAGTTATGTTTAATTTAAAAAAAAATCTTCTTTAACTGGATTTTTACTAAAAATAATTTTTATTTAGTTGAATTTTTAAATTTGAAAATTGCGAATTCATTTTAACTCCATTTAACAGAATATTCATTTAAAAAAATTATTAGTTGAAAAAAATCATCAATTTACCAAATTTTTATTTGATAGATTATTATTCCCAGCAAGCTGGAATCATTATAGCGCGAATTTTAAACTTGTCCAATCAAAATTTTGTTTTCATTACTTTTTAATGTAATAAAACAAGATTCGGTAATTGGATATGATTCTGTTAAATATGAGAATTCGATTAAATGAAGTTTAATGCGGAATTTAAAATTCTTATATTTAACAATAATTGTTTAATTCCCTTAAAACAGAAAATTTTTTTGAATAAAAATTCACTTTAATGAAAATTTCATTAAAATTCAAATTGTGAAATCAAAATTTATTTTATTTAATTAATTTTACAATTACTAAATGTTTACATAAAAAATTGATTTTAGCGTAATTATTTTTCGTATAACTTTACAAATTTGACGGATATTATAATTATATTAAAAATTCAAAAAAAAAAAAAAAAAAAAAAAAATTTATAATTTCGTTGATTATCTACGCTCCTGACTGACAAAATAAGATATCAATTCCATAAGAAAAGAAATTTGTCATATTTCAGAAAATTGTAAACAGTAGAAGTGAAACATTCAAACGTGAGTTGTGAAATGTGATTAATAATCAAATCGAGAATGAAATTTCACGAGGTTAAATATCAATTATCTTTTTTTTTTTTATTTTCTAGGAAAATTAATTATTTTTTACAAAAATATTCAAATGTCAAATAAATTTAATACTACAATTTATTATAATATGATTAATCGCCTTATTAAAAAAAAAATACATAAATACAAAAATAATTTCACAAAACAATTCAAGTAGATAACTTAATAATAAATTTATAGTCAATTATATGAAATTTTAAGAATGACTAATAATAAGGGTAAATCTTTTGAAAATTTACAGAACCGTTGTCGACAGTGTAAAAAATTATTTTGTTGTTCAAATTGTCGATTGGCACACGAGCAAAAAAATCATTCAGCACGTGAAATAAAGTGTCCAATTTGTTGTTCAAAAAAATTCCAAATAAAAGGAGACGAGAGTCACGAATTTATTTGTCATTTGGTTTTTCATCATTTACCACTTCTATGTCGTTTGTGCGGTCAGTCGTTTCGAACGTGTGAAGATTTAACGTTACTTCAAAAGTGCGGTTGGTGGAAATTGGAAAATTCACGTCGTGTATTGAAAATTTTGGAAAATACACTATCACCAAAAACGCCAAAATTAGACGTCAATAATTATATCGATTCATGCAATAATTATAATAGTAATAATAATAATAATAATAATAATAATAATAAAAATAATAATAATAATAGAAAAATTAATTCTCATTGTAATAAAGAAAGCAGTTATTTTGTGACATTGAATTCACCTCCAGTGTTGATTAGAAATACAAGTACGCCGATGATAAGTAGTGGTCCCAAGATAAGTTTCGAATTGAGAAAATCAAATTCTATAAATTTACATCTTAAAACGCCGGGAAATTTTTCATCATCATTGGAAAATACGGAATCTCCTCCATTTTTGGATAATAACGAATTTCGAAATAAGTGTAGTTCTGATTCTGTATTCAACAGTGGTCGATACAGTTCACAATCAAAATCATTTATACAGGTATATTTATTTATTTTACAAGGTGTTTCTTGTAGGAAAAAATTTATTTACAACAAATTTAAATATATATTGAAAATATTTATAAATTTTTATTATTTGGAAAATTATTAATATTTTAACAAAACTAAAAACAAAATATATATATATATATATATATATGTGTTATACGAAAAGTGATTATTTTTATTACGATAAATTATAATTTTTCCAAGCCGCGTCAATGAGGTAACGATAACAATTATATTCTAAATTCTCAATACAGGAAAATTTGTTTATTTTAAATATACCTATATTTCTTTATTTATTTTTATCTGTTAAATTTTTTTTACATTTTTAGAGAAGGTTATTTAACATATATTTGATGCTTATTTAGAATTAATTTTTAATTTTTTTTTTAATAATCAAAATTTTATTCAATAAAAAATAACAAACAGAATTGTAGAAAATTTTTTAAAAAGTATAAAATAAGCTATTGTTTGTAAAAATTGAATAAAATTATTTATTTAAATTAACAAACGGATGATAAACTATTTACAAATTATAAAGAAATTTAAGTAAGGAGATAATTATAATTGTTTACTAATTTTAAACAAGAAACACAAAAATGTTGAATAATTATTATTATTTTATAACAAATTTTATTGTCAAAATAATTTTTGTTGAAAACAGTACAAGTGGATTTTTAAAAATTTTGTTTTATTATTAATTATTGATTTATTTGATAAATATATTTCAAAGCATTTCAAAGATATTTAATTAATTTAATATTTAAAAATAAACATATTTTAATCAAAATATGAATGTATATATACAATTTTAAAATGATATAAATATATTTTTCTTTTAAAAGAAATTTCTTCATTAAAATAAACATTTATTTCTTGGATTCAAATAAAAAAATTTCGTAAAATCAAAGAAGTATTTCTTTGCCCAAGAAAATTAAAACAAATTATGTCAAGATTTATAAAAAAAAAAAAAAATAAGAAAAATAAATTAAAAATTAGTTTTTTTAATGAAAAATATTTGATTAAAAATTAAACTAATTCTCTTCGATAAGGTGTCTTTTATTTCAAAATGTTATCAATTTTTTAAAATAAAAAGACAAAAAATTTAGTGTAAAATAAATTTTCAATAATTTTTAAATGTAAATAATTTAATTAAATAATAAATTAAATGCCTTGCATTTTTTTTTGTTTATTTACAGAGTGGCAGCTCCGAATATTACACCTGTGAACAACAGGATTTAAATTCCGGTAAAAAATTAACAAAAGTTGAAGAGTTTTCAAAATATCATCGAAGTGAAACTTATAAGAAAGATATAAAACAATTAAAGAAAACAGTTCGATTTTCCGATCAATTTTCCCAAACAATAGAAATGGCTGAATATGAAGAATTTTTTGAAGCTCATGAAAATTTATCCGAAATATCACAACAATTTTTAAATAACGAAGAAGAAATTAATGAAAATGAAATATCACTGAATCAAATTGAATCGACTTTTGACAATACTGATAATCATGATAATAAAATAAATTATGAAAAGGAAAATAAATTTTTATTAGAGGAAAATAAAATTTCTTTAGAAAATGAAAATAATATTTCTCTAATGATTAGCAATGTTTATTTAAATGACAATAAATCAAAAGAAATAGCAATAAATGAAAATTATTTACATAAAAAAAATATTTCATCAATGAAAAATATTTATTTAAAAGAAAATGTTTGTTTTAAAAATAACATTGTTTCTGTAAGTGAAAATAAAATTTACACAAAGAAAAATGGAGATGAAGAAAAAAATTCATTTGACGAATCAAATATTTATTATCAACAAAATGAAATTAGCGAAGATGAAAATAAAGAAAATGAATTTGAAAATATTCGTCCAAGTTCATCAAATTCAAATTCATCTGAGACAAATTCAAGAAAAAATCAACAAGCAGCAGAATCTTCACGAATTGTCATGATGCTTCTTATTGATAATGCATCACAATTTTCAAGATCAGATTTGGTACCTTTAATTGATTCGGAATTAAAAAAATTGGAGGAAACAACAACAACAACATCATCATCATCATCATCAACATCATCATTATCATCGATAAACACTGTTTACAATTCAATTTCCAATCGTTCAATAGGATCACAAGAGGAAAAATATTCAATGAAAAATTCTCAATTCAGAAGAAAATCCACAACGTCATCTGTCAATAGTTATTTTTCTATTGCCAGTAGTAGTAGTGAGTGTTATACAGCAGAAAATGAATCATCATTCACAAGTATCAGCAATAAAGAAAATGCGTCCTATGAAAATGAAGACTCTTCAAAATCTGATGGGATTCTTTCAGCAATGGCACGAGTCGTGAGAAATGCTTTGAAAAAATTTCCAGGTAGATGGTTTCTCTACTTAATTTGTTGTGGAGCTCACGATTCTAATAAAAAATTTACTTACGAGAGAATTTAATTTCTACAATATAATAACAGAAATATTTATGTAATTTGAATGATAAAAATTTCTTTTTAATTTTACATAAAAATGGGGAATAAAATTTTATTGAAAAAATTGAAATATTAATTGAAAAAATTTGAAACTTATTAAAGCGTTAGCATTTTTTATCAAATTTTCTAATCTCTAATTTTTGAATATTACAATATTTAAGAAATGGAAATATAAAAATTTTTGAACAAAAATCGAGTGTTTAATAATGAATGGCGAAAATAATTCGTATAATGAAAAAGTAAAAATATCAGTAATATTATAATTTTTAAAAAGTAAAAATGTTAATTAAAATTTTAAAAAAATTAGACGTCTTTAATTAATTTACTATTATATTACTGTTAATTAATTATAGTATTAAAAATTAGTTATTTATTAATTATTTTTATGCATGCACTCAAAAAGTTGTTTTAACAGCTGTGAAAATGTAATAAAAATAAACGGAAATAATTTTAATACCATAAATTTCTTTATTAATAATTATTCAAAATACAGTTTAATTTATACTTATATTAATTTTGATTATTCTATTAAAAAGCCCAAAAAATATAAGATAAAAATTGAATTTTAAACTCATTATAGTTATGTTAACAGAGAAAGTTCAGAAATAACTCATATAAGAGTATAAATTTTTGAGCCCCTGTATCTTGACAACCAGTCACTACTGGAACAATTCGTTTCTATATAAATATATTATAATTTTTCAAAAAAAAATTTTTTTTTCTCTTTTAAAATTTTTTTAATGTTTCTTATTTTTATATCGCAACATGTTTTTGAGAGTTGGTTTTTATTTAAATTCTGATTTTTGTTCAAAATTGTTACCAGCAAGCTTGCATTATTAATTTTTATATTTTACTTAATATTATTCAAGTTAATTTAATGAAAAAATTAGAGTATGGAGGATCGAACCCAGGTTCGACGCACACAAATTGAGAACGCTAACCAATTTACTACAACCAATGGACATCAGAAAATTATTTTTTCAAACATTTCTTCATAATAGTAAGTTAATTAATGTTCTCAATTTGTAAACGTCGAACCTGGATTCAACCCTTCATACCCTCAATGTTTTTTTTTGCATAATATTCAATTAACTTAAAAAAAAATAAATAAAGTACAAAAATAAATAATAATATAACAATAAATAATAATAATTTTTCAGGAGCGAGTATATTACAAGAATCAAGTGAATCATCAAATGAAGAGTCAAGTTCATCATTAACGAAATTACCATCACCAATAGAATTATCATCATCATCATCATTATCATTAGTATCATCACCATTATCATCTTCATCATCGAGTTCACAACCGAGACTGGAACAAAGTATAAATCATCTCGCAAGTAAACGACCCAGAGATGCAATATCTCAATCTGCAATAATTCATAGTCCTATTTTACCTAACGAAGACAGAAGTCCAATTGCAAAACGTCAACGTGGATGGTATAAATATAAAGTAAGAGCTAGACCTCCAATAGCTCGTATGAGAAAAATTCAAGTCACATCGCCCAAAGGAATTTCTTCCGAAACACAACGGTTTCAACAAGGTTCCCTTTCTGTCGGAAAACTAAATACCATCATTCCTCTTCCCTCCAGAGCACACCAATGCACACAAACGGAAAAATAAAAAAAAAAAACAAACTTTTTCTCCATTTATTTTGTAAATTAGTTTCTACATTATATTTCCATTTTTCTTTTTAACCATTTTTATATTAAAAAAAAAAAGTCGAATTATACTTTTACTATATTTGTTTTTGATAAAATTTCTAATTTTCTAGAAGTAAAAATAAAAAATTAAAATAAAATTAATGCAACGCAAACGAATGACATATCGAAAATTGTTGAATATATATATATTTATATGAAAACGTGCATTAATATAGTCACAGTGAAAGTACTTTTTTTTCAATGAAAAGAAATTTATTCAAGAACCTTTTGAATTTATTTCATTAGAAGAAATTTATTTGCAAAAAAATTGAATTTATTTTTTTAAGTTATATTTTTGACTACGCACATTTATTCTGCTTCTGATAATTTTATTATTTGTGTGTTTACAAATGTATGACATTATGCAATATTTATATATACAATAACTCTATAATTGTAAGAGTTAAAAATCTTAATTACATTGATAAATGATTTTAATAAAAAGATGTGATATTTTAAAAGTGTTTATGTCGCCGTAACCAAAAATCAAATTTTAATACATATCTCCATGAAGTGTAGAATATTGATTGTAATATCTTAATTTACATGGAAAATACATTCAATCAGATTTTTCATTACATTTTAAACCTGCAGATACAAAATTTCTTTAAGTTTTAGCTTTGATTTCTTTAAAAAATTAAAAATGTTTTTTTTTTGTAAAAAAAAATTTTAAATGCGAAAATTGCAACAATTGTTTATTTATTTTAGACGCTTCATGAGAGAAGGGACCTTACCTTTTTTGTATTAATTAAAAAGAATATTAGACAAAATTCCCTACACATATATACATAAAAAACGGTGGGTGTGATTAGAAAGTGAATAAACATTAAATTATTTTCTCCTGTGTTATTCAGGAATTCCAGGCACTTGTGTTTGCAAACCTGAATGTCAATGACAAATTTCTCAACCTTCACATTTCAAAAAAAAAAAAAAAAAAATCTGATGACAAAAGAAAGTCAATTTTATTTTACATTATTTTGAAAACTTTTTTAAAAGTCAATAAATTAGTTTTTCGATTTTTTTGGAATATGTAAGGTATAAAAGAAAAAACAATCTTTCACTTTTTTAATATTTAAGACAACGTTTCGGTGGTCTGGTTTGCCACTATCATCAGGTCACTTATTATAATTATATTCAAATAAATACAACACTTTAAATTCAAAATTATAACATTAAACAAAAAATTAAAAAATAATTTTTTTTTACCTAATTAAAATCAATAAATAAAATCAAATAAATAAAGAAAATACAACAGAAATATAAAATATTTAAATTTACAAATCACAAACATATTAATAGAAATGATTTAGTCAAACTGACTGACTCGATGACAATTTTCACATTATATACAGACGATAGGGTCAATTTCCTCGTCAACATTTCCTCGAAGTTGTTTTTTTCAAATTCATTGGAGAAAAATAGGGAAGAAACACCGTTCTTCCTTTAAAAACTTGGTCATATTTTAAACATCAACTGACTTACTGACTTTTTTGCTAATGTGCAGGAGTAATGGACTTATACCACAACATCTTCTTTATATAAGTAATCGATCTAAGGCTGAATCCATTTCAAAACGTACAGGCTGACCACCTTCATGTTGTAGATTTTTCTGTCGATGAAATATGTTATTCTACATGAAAAATAAAGAGACACGTATTTTTTTATTTTTCATAAAAATTATGTTTAACGAAGTTATGGTCATTTGAAGTTTGAGAGGTAAAACTCGAAAGAACAATGAAAAAAAATTGTTTCGCTTGTAATTTTTTTTCTAATGAATGTAATCAAATTATTTTTCTTGGATCTTGTAGGGGGTATATTCCTCTTTAAAATCCCATTTGAAATTTGAAAAAAGATTCAAAATTAACAAAAAAGGAGATGATTTTCTAAAAATCATTAAAGTCAATTTTCTCAAAAACCCCACTTTTTTCTCTTTCAAATTTTTACCATAAATTCTTACCAATATGAAGAACCAATTCTAGGAGTTTCAAGCGGGCTAAACAATCCTGGTAGTAAGGAGAAATTTTTTTCGAAATATTTTTTTTTACGAAATTTGAAATGGCTGACGTGCAGTTTCAAGAACAAATGATCTAACTGAAATGAGTCATTTTGTAACCAACAATAATGTATGTATAGAAAATAACCATAAAATAACTTTTTTCAAACCGATTCTAAGCATCAAAAAATTTATAATTTGACATTTTAAGTATTGTTAAGACCAATGATAATAAATATATAATTAATAAAAAGGTGAAAGAAGAAAAAATATTTTTTATAAATATTGTGATTCTTTCAGTAATATACTCTTCAAATATTTTCCAATTCAAATTATCCTTCAAAAATTTTTCAAAAAAACTTAAAGTATTAATTTTCAATTTGGAAATTAATATTTTCAAATTTAATTTTAAAATAAATTGATTAAGTAAAAATTCAAGATAGTATATTTTATAATAATTTAAATATTAAAAAAATATTTTTTCAAATTATTATGCATTATTTTCACATATAAATAATTAAATATTTTTATTGCACATTAAAACACATTTAAAGTAACTGAATATGCACAAAATACACCGAAAAGTGTAGAAAAAAATTGACACCCAGATCCGAGTAGAGGAAGACCCTTTTTATGACCAAAAACGCATCCAAAAGCATAAAAAACTGTCCAAAAAAATTCAATTTTTCTTAGGCAGACGATTTTATTGCATATTCTTGCACAGAATACACCGAAAAGTGTAGAAAAAAATTGACACCCAGATCCGAGTAGAGGAAGACCCTTTTTATGACCAAAAACGCATCCAAAAGCATAAAAAACTGTCCAAAAAAATTCAATTTTTCTTAGGCAGACGATTTTATTGCATATTCTTGCACAGAATACACCGAAAAGTGTAGAAAAAAATTGACACCCAGATCCGAGTAGAGGAAGACCCTTTTTATGACCAAAAACGCATCCAAAAGCATAAAAAACTGTCCAAAAAAATTCAATTTTTCTTAGGCAGACGATTTTATTGCATATTCTTGCACAGAATACACCGAAAAGTGTAGAAAAAAATTGACACCCAGATCCGAGTAGAGGAAGACCCTTTTTATGACCAAAAACGCATCCAAAAGCATAAAAAACTGTCCAAAAAAATTCAATTTTTCTTAGGCAGACGATTTTATTGCATATTCTTGCACAGAATACACCGAAAAGTGTAGAAAAAAATTGACACCCAGATCCGAGTAGAGGAAGACCCTTTTTATGACCAAAAACGCATCCAAAAGCATAAAAAACTGTCCAAAAAAATTCAATTTTTCTTAGGCAGACGATTTTATTGCATATTCTTGCACAGAATACACCGAAAAGTGTAGAAAAAAATTGACACCCAGATCCGAGTAGAGGAAGACCCTTTTTATGACCAAAAACGCATCCAAAAGCATAAAAAACTGTCCAAAAAAATTCAATTTTTCTTAGGCAGACGATTTTATTGCATATTCTTGCACAGAATACACCGAAAAGTGTAGAAAAAAATTGACACCCAGATCCGAGTAGAGGAAGACCCTTTTTATGACCAAAAACGCATCCAAAAGCATAAAAAACTGTCCAAAAAAATTCAATTTTTCTTAGGCAGACGATTTTATTGCATATTCTTGCACAGAATACACCGAAAAGTGTAGAAAAAAATTGACACCCAGATCCGAGTAGAGGAAGACCCTTTTTATGACCAAAAACGCATCCAAAAGCATAAAAAACTGTCCAAAAAAATTCAATTTTTCTTAGGCAGACGATTTTATTGCATATTCTTGCACAGAATACACCGAAAAGTGTAGAAAAAAATTGACACCCAGATCCGAGTAGAGGAAGACCCTTTTTATGACCAAAAACGCATCCAAAAGCATAAAAAACTGTCCAAAAAAATTCAATTTTTCTTAGGCAGACGATTTTATTGCATATTCTTGCACAGAATACACCGAAAAGTGTAGAAAAAAATTGACACCCAGATCCGAGTAGAGGAAGACCCTTTTTATGACCAAAAACGCATCCAAAAGCATAAAAAACTGTCCAAAAAAATTCAATTTTTCTTAGGCAGACGATTTTATTGCATATTCTTGCACAGAATACACCGAAAAGTGTAGAAAAAAATTGACACCCAGATCCGAGTAGAGGAAGACCCTTTTTATGACCAAAAACGCATCCAAAAGCATAAAAAACTGTCCAAAAAAATTCAATTTTTCTTAGGCAGACGATTTTATTGCATATTCTTGCACAGAATACACCGAAAAGTGTAGAAAAAAATTGACACCCAGATCCGAGTAGAGGAAGACCCTTTTTATGACCAAAAACGCATCCAAAAGCATAAAAAACTGTCCAAAAAAATTCAATTTTTCTTAGGCAGACGATTTTATTGCATATTCTTGCACAGAATACACCGAAAAGTGTAGAAAAAAATTGACACCCAGATCCGAGTAGAGGAAGACCCTTTTTATGACCAAAAACGCATCCAAAAGCATAAAAAACTGTCCAAAAAAATTCAATTTTTCTTAGGCAGACGATTTTATTGCATATTCTTGCACAGAATACACCGAAAAGTGTAGAAAAAAATTGACACCCAGATCCGAGTAGAGGAAGACCCTTTTTATGACCAAAAACGCATCCAAAAGCATAAAAAACTGTCCAAAAAAATTCAATTTTTCTTAGGCAGACGATTTTATTGCATATTCTTGCACAGAATACACCGAAAAGTGTAGAAAAAAATTGACACCCAGATCCGAGTAGAGGAAGACCCTTTTTATGACCAAAAACGCATCCAAAAGCATAAAAAACTGTCCAAAAAAATTCAATTTTTCTTAGGCAGACGATTTTATTGCATATTCTTGCACAGAATACACCGAAAAGTGTAGAAAAAAATTGACACCCAGATCCGAGTAGAGGAAGACCCTTTTTATGACCAAAAACGCATCCAAAAGCATAAAAAACTGTCCAAAAAAATTCAATTTTTCTTAGGCAGACGATTTTATTGCATATTCTTGCACAGAATACACCGAAAAGTGTAGAAAAAAATTGACACCCAGATCCGAGTAGAGGAAGACCCTTTTTATGACCAAAAACGCATCCAAAAGCATAAAAAACTGTCCAAAAAAATTCAATTTTTCTTAGGCAGACGATTTTATTGCATATTCTTGCACAGAATACACCGAAAAGTGTAGAAAAAAATTGACACCCAGATCCGAGTAGAGGAAGACCCTTTTTATGACCAAAAACGCATCCAAAAGCATAAAAAACTGTCCAAAAAAATTCAATTTTTCTTAGGCAGACGATTTTATTGCATATTCTTGCACAGAATACACCGAAAAGTGTAGAAAAAAATTGACACCCAGATCCGAGTAGAGGAAGACCCTTTTTATGACCAAAAACGCATCCAAAAGCATAAAAAACTGTCCAAAAAAATTCAATTTTTCTTAGGCAGACGATTTTATTGCATAT